CAGGCCTTCAAGTTTCTAGACTGCTGGTATACCCTCAACAATAAACAATCTCAACAAACTAAACTTATAAAAGATGAAACATTCCAACTTATCAACATTGCTAGCTTCAAGAAAATTACTGATAAGCAAATCACTTATATTATTAATTTATTGAATAATGTAAATTGAATATCATATTTAATTATTTAAAAGAACTTTAATTGAACTTTACAGTACTTTTACGTAATAACGCGCGTTATTTTGAGACAAATAAAAAACTTCAAGCATAAGACAAAAAAATACCCTGGAACTGGATTTAGTACTAAGTAACCCACCCTTTGAGCTTAACAAAAGTTGTTCTAAAGAACAACTTTTGTTAAGCTCAAAGGGTGGGTTACTTAGTACTAAATCCAGTTCTGAGATCATTTTTTATTTTGGAGACGCATATTTATATAAAAAATTTTTTTTGGTTTAATATTTTGTGCAAAATATTACAGCATATTTTGTATAACAAAAAACTTTCATTTAAGTAAATATTACACATGTACATTTTCTTAAACAAAAAATTTCTACTATTTAATTATATAACTAATAGTTATAAATATTAACTATTGTACATTTACACAATAAAACCAAAATAGATCATTTAATTGGTATGTTTTAAAAAGAGATAGCAAATAAATATAAAAAATAACTTTGATTCACTGGTCTTGTGACCCAGAAATGTAACACATATCGATATATTGTATTGTGATTTAAGCTAGAGTGTCCAAATTATGCGATTTTAGGCTGTTTATAAAATAGAAACAGAATTGAAATAGCATAAGTCTGGACAATCTAATTTAAGCCAAGCTCAATGAAGCTATGCTAAACTAATTTAAATACAATTTTGATATATTATGAGTACACTAAATTATTGTGGTATTTACTAATTTTCTTCCAAGTTCTCCTTAAAGATTTAAGATTAATATCAGAATTAATAGATGACATTATAACAAAATCTTGCAAGGAATATTTTTTGGTAGTACACAAAAGTCGATTTATTAGGCGAAATTTTGCGATAAATGAGTCTTTTTCAAAAATAAGCGTGTGATTTGATCGCACATGATATAATTTACAAGATTTTCAAATTGATAGTTGCTAATTCATTTTTTTTTCTCATGGACAATTAAAAAATTTTTTTGCAAACCAAAATGGAATGTTAGCATGTTTTTAAATGAGAACTATGAGAATTATC